AATGAATGTACAAATGTGCTTTACACAATTTATGTATGTATGGAGTGTGCTAAGAGTTGTATAAACCTCTAATAAAGCGATTTTTAAAAATCCTAATCTCTGTGATGTTAATAAAAAAGGATCAGGGACAGTTATGTTCAAGACTAAGTTATATCTTTTGAGATATTAAAGGAGATTGAAAAAATGAGCAGAGATTAGAGCAACCTGAAGCGCTGGAGAAACACATTCTTAAGCCCAGGATCCCTGTGCTGAGAACCTTCTATACCCAGGGAGAGAGTGATGCTAGGACATAAGGAGATGTGGAAGGAATGCCAGATCCATCTATATTAATCTAATACCCTTCTCTCTGGATCTTACTTACATTTTGCTACTGAAACATTGGTGAACTATGTGGCTACACAGCACCAGCTTCTGAGACAGTTGTTCAAGGGGTGGCAAAATGCAAACTCCAGGACCATCATCACTGATGAAAAATAAGGTAACTGAGTACGTTTGACAGAGACCATCTGGGCTAAACCCAAACTTTCTCTACAAACTGAAAAGAATTAGCCAGGAAACCCTCGGGAGATCAGTCTACTTTATAACAGATGAGGTCACATCAGTCATAACTCAATAGCAAGCTAAGGGTCAAAGAACTATCTAAACTAAACAAAACAAAAACTGCTAAATTACACTTTTTCAATTTACAAATTTTATTTTTTATAATTTTTCAAATTATGAATGTAGGCATGTAAATTATGGAATAATTAATGATGAAGACAGAAAATTACTATTAACAATAGGAAAAAAATACATTTGTTCTTAAATTATAGCTTTGGGATTTCAAATCCTAGCTAGAATGAAATGAAATATCAAAGCAATCAGACCAACAAAAACAATTATAAACGCTGAGTAAAATAATAAAAACAAAACAAAACCCACTCCCATTGAGTTGATTCCAATTCATAGAGTTTCTGAGGCTGTAAATTGTAATGGGAGCAGACAGACTCCATTTTCTCCTGCAGAGCAGCTGGTGGGTTTGAACCACTGGCTTTACAAGCATTGAGCAGTCATCGTTTACCAAACATCGCCACTAGGGCTCCTTGAGTACAATCTCTCTCGCTGCCATGGAGTCAATGCTGATGCTCAGGGATACCCTGTGGGTTCCACGACTGTAACTGTTTAAGGGAGTTTTTTAAAAAAAGCCCAGTCTTTCTCCAGTGGAGCTGCTGCTGACCGTGCGGATCGCAGCCCAACACATACCCACTACACCACCAGGGCTCCAGCTTGAGTAAAATATACAGGTTGGGGATGGGGGGAAATCAGAGCATATGCAAGGCAGCTAGAACTTGAGATGCAAGACTCTGAAAAGAAGTAAAACACAGAGAGGTAAATCTACCACTCTTCAGTCATTTCCTGATGCACAAACAGAGTGACGGAGAGAGCAGCCCAGCATAAAGTACAATCTGGATAATCTCATGGAGTCAGACAAAACACAAAAATAAAAGCCTCGCTGCCATCGAGTGGGTGGAAACGCACCGTGACCCTGTAAGACAGGGTAGAACGGTCTCTTGAGTTTCCAAGACTGTAACTCTATGGGAGTTGGAAGCGCTGTCTTTCTCCAGAGGAACTGCTGGTAGTTTCGAACTGCTGACCTTGGGGAGCCGCGCAGGCCAGTACGGAACCACCACACCACCGGGGCTCCTTCCAAGAGACAAAAGTTAGAAAGCCACGGTGCTAAGGGGTTCCAAGGTTGTTATCATGTGGATAAGAAAAAGCTATTTCTTTCCCTCTTTGAGGTACTAATAATTAATTCCTCAACTGCATCAATAAGGAATAAAGATTATCATCACTGATTGTCAGAGGGCCCTTGGCTGAGAGTAAAGAATATCAGAGAGATGTATACTTGTGTTTCACTGATTCTGCAACATCTGAATCACAAATTATGGGTAACACTACCAACAATGGGAATTCCAGAACACTTCATCAGGTTCCTGTAAAACCTGTACACAGGCCACAGGAAGTCATCCCAACAGAACCAGGGGTTAAACCAGGAAAGGTGGGTGTCGAGGGCTGAATCCTTTCACCATACTTACTCGGTCTTTAGACTGAGCAAATAACCCAAGGAGAAAGTGACACCAGGATTGGAGGAAAGCTCATTAACAACCGGTCATTCGTAGATGACACACTCGGCTTGCTGGAAGTGATGAGGAAAAGCGCTGGCTGATGAAGGTGAAGTAGAGTCAACACAAAAGAGGGGCACTCTCAAGCGGACGGCGGGACACAGTGGGTGCAACAATGAGCGCAAACATGGGGACCATTGTGAGCGCTGCACGGGAACTGGCAATGTTTCATTCTGTTGTCCACGGGATGGCAAAACTGTCCACAACCTCAAGATGCCAGAAAGACCAAAACTACTTGTTTCTGTCCAACAGAGCACAAGCGCCTTAGTTTAAAACCCCAAGCTTTCAGTTCAAACCTCAAGGGTGATCCTTTAAAAATATGGAAGAGCCAAAAGTAGATCAGTCCTCAGAAAGTCTGAAATCCAGCTGCGAGTTCTCTCAATCCTGGATGAGAACAAGCCAATTGGCTGCACGTCTACGTAAGCCAAAGCGGAACCCATCGTAATCGAGAGCATCCTGATTCGAGAGGATTGATTTTCTTGGCCGTAATCTTAAATGGAGGCAGATCACCAGCCCTTTCTTTCATGGTGACACGGGTGGGTTAAAACCACCAACATTTAAGTGAGTGGTCAAACACATACCATTTACCCCAAACAAGTGAGACCTTCCAAATCTGCACACCTGCCAGAAAAACAATTACATATATTCTGATAAAGAGACCAGCTTCCAGAGCTTGTACAACATTTTTGTAAACAATGTCCACCATTCAATTAAAATTAACAAAGTCTACCAGAAGTGAGGGCCCAAAGTAACCACTCAAACGTCCATAAAGCAATGGATGTATTAGAGATCCATGACGGAAAAGATTAAGAGTTGTTACGCCGAACTTACCAACTGCCGTATCACCATCTAACAAATTGTCATCTTCAGAAGTCTGAAAGTCCATAATAACGCCTGCTCCATCTAAAAGCTCCTCATCGCTACTCGCACTGGTGATACTGTTGTAGCTGTTTCTGTAGCGGCCTCTGTGGAACAGCTGCTCAGACTCCATGGAGCTGGCAGATTACCTGAAGGAAGGGGAGGAAATATGTTTAGCATGTTCCTAGTGCATACTTAAAATCCTCTAGCTGATTATCAGACAGAAATCCGTAATTCTTTCGTCTTAAAAAATAGTACACTCATTCACTGTACCAACAGTTAATTCTATTGTGCCAGGAATTAGTAATCATTTCATTCTCACTATGCAGCTGGGGGAAAAAAGAAACGAAGAGTTTCTTTATGTAACAGCATAAAACAAACTCCAGAATTAAGTTAAAAACATAACGCATACAGAACTGTTTATAGCATGCTGACCTTCATGCTTGTTCATTTTTACAAAAAGAGACAAAGGGGAAATAATGCACACTTGCTTATGCACGCATAGACTCTTTCTGGGGGGATTTCCAAAAATGTGGTAACAATGGTTGCCCACAGAGCAAAGAAGAGGGAGGCTAAAGCATCAGAGTTGGAAGAGAGAATTTGTATTAGACACTCATTTATCCTTTCTGAATATCTTGCAAAGTACAAGTTTAGAAAATTAATACTATAATGGAAAACACAAACAGTAGTTAGTTTACCTCACCGTTTAATATTAATTTATCATTTAATATCCTTTTATCATCCTAAAATTTAAATCTTCTGAGTCCATGGTCATAAAAATGAGATTGTAGGTATTGATTTTCATTTTCTAAAAGAAGTAAACAAATTTATTTTTGTTCTTATTGTCTATACTCTGAAAGCAGTATTACTCCTAAAGAGCATGGCTTTTATGTCTACCTACTTGTTCAAAATAAATACGAAGAGTTCAACATAATTTGGTGACATGAGTAAAAACTAGTCTTACTTAATTGCTGTAGAGTAGGCTCCAACTCAGGCTCAAATTTACTGCCATCAAGTGGATTCCAACTCAGAGCAACCCTATAGGACAGAGCAGAACTGCTCTGTGGGTTTCCGAGACTTAACTCTGCAAGAACAGAAAGCCTCCCCTTTCCCCCACAGAAGCCCACCATGTAACCACTCCGCCCCCTGCTCCACAGTTCATAGAGACAGCCCATTACAGACTAGGAATAATAGACTTGAAAGGTTCACATGTGGAAACTTGAGAGATACAATGTCATAAGAGCAGTTGAACCAGTGGTAACTCATTTGATACATCATACAGAGGAATATACACAGGGAAAACACAAGATAAAGGGAGGACTGAAACATGCTTCATTCTCCTACTGGTAGTTTCCGACCACCTGCAGGGTTCTGTGCCAATGGCTCCATCCTAAATCAGTTCTGATGGAAATCAGCGGGTACTGTTCTGTTTCTTGAATTGTCATTATTGTCTTTTATCATCACTATCTTTATAAATTATAACATTAAATACTGAGGAGTGAGCATCAGAAAGGATAGAACTGCCCTATGGGTTTCTGAGACTGTAACTCTTTACAGGATTAGAAAGTCTCATCTTTATCCCACAGAGCGCTGATGGTTTTGAATTGCAGCTCGATGGTAACTGCACAACGGTACAATGAGTACCTCAATGGTAGCTCAATGGTAACACACTGTAAGGTGGGAAGGTTATACACACTATAAGGTGGGCAGCGCAGTGGTAACACACAATAAGGTGGGAAGGGGTTAGTAGGGCATATTACTTATGTGATGTTCCCAAGATATTCGAATGGAAATACAAGTGGCTTCAAAAAGTTCACAGAAAACTTCCATTATGTTTCACAATTCCATTTTTCCATAAACTTTTTGAAATATATATATATATATCAGGTCTCCCTTGTTTCCTCATTAAGAATACGAGTAAATTTAAAATATATCCCTACCAAGTCACAGAAACCTTTATTAAACAAAAATATCAAAATATGAAGCTATTGTTTCTCTACATATCAAGTCTGTACACTTCTGAAGTCAATATTTCCAGCTAATTGGCTCCTCCCCCAAAGAATTCTTCACGGTCTGATTTATACTATGTCGAAAGAGCAATTTTGGCGTTCTCAGTGGACTCAAATCATATTCCTTTTAGGAACCAAAAGCAAAAAAGTTTAATGGGCACAATCAGGGCGGCAGAGTGGATGAAGTAAGGTTTCCCAACAAAATTCTCATAGGACAGCCCTCGTTACCCTAAATTAAAAAAAAATTTTTTTTTAATGAGCAGGTATATTGTAGTAATAAAAAAGATTTTCTTGGCATGACATTCTGGACCTTTTTCTTACCAATGCAGTTTTCCATTTACCTAAAAAGTCTTCCTAAGAAGTCCTATTGATCATTCTGTATCCTTACAACAAGTCTACCACAATTACCCCTTCGGAATGAAAATGTGTAAAAACAGTTGCCATGACCTTCCAAGCGGATCTCTGCCTTGAATTTAGTTGATCCAGCAGATATCCTTGAAGTTGCTGTTCTACCATTCTGTTTTGTTTTTTAAGGGACCAAATGAAATTAAAACAATGTATCACCAAGACAACTTGGCTGCAGCCATCTACTGATTACAGAAACACATGTACACGTTTTGTTTGGAATAAACCGGTGCACGTATGAACTAGAACCCTGTAGCAATACTTCTGTGCTATATTCTTTTTTCCATTTGGTTTCATATCAAAGAATGCTTACTTTTCTCCTTTACCTAACCATGTAACTAAAAAGCAAAGCAGAGGGAAAAGGGGCTACATTAAAACTATGCAATCCTAGTTGCTAATTAATACTAATTAACTATACACAAAACAATTACACCATTATTTTAAAATAATGAACTTTTCAGTAAAGCACCAAGTATACATCTTTTTAATATTCTAAATGTTCCAGTGCGTTTAAAATATACCAAATTGAGAAGAACATTAAGGGTGGTAGTTATATGGAAAAACATTCACAATAAAATATATAGACACAGACCTGAAGAAATGTAATAGTTCAAATATAACTAAAGAGAGAGTATCCAGAAACTCAAGTACACAAACATCGGAAAAGACAGATTACAAAGGTAATTGCTTACCACTGGACCTGAAGGTAGTCTACAATACATCAACACGTGAGGAGGGTTCAATTGAAAAGTTCCCATGGTAAAAGCAACATAGTTTTTTCTTGCTACAGTAATCAGGTTTTTAACTAGTTTTATAACTTTTCTTCCTTCAGATTTAGTTACTGCACAAAGTATCTATAAATATAATCAAAATCTGAAAAGATCTACTCTACATCAGGGTTACTGATTTCTATCATTAATGCTGTAAAATTATGAATGCATATTCTCTCATTTGGTGATATGAACAAAAATACTAAAAAACTATTGTGAAGAGGGATTTGCTAAGTAAATTACTGCATTCCACCTACTTTCCTGAACCAAATTAAGTTATCACAAATAAAAGATGTATATGCAATAGGGTTTATTTTAAAAGGCAAAAGATCAAGATCAAACACAAAGAAGGGTGGAAGTTTGTTCATTAGACTCACCCAAAAATAAATAATGAAAAATAAACTCATTGCCATCGAGTGGATCCCGACTCATAGGGATCCTACAGACCATGGTGGAACTGACCCTGTGGGTTTCCAAGACTGTAGATCTTTACAGAAGTCAAAAGCCTCATCTTTCTCCTTTGGAATGCTGGTGTTTCTTTGAACTGCTAGCCTTAGGGTTAGCAGCCCAGCACATAACCCAGTCTGCCACATGAGCTCCTAGTCAGACCCATAGGGTTTTGAAATAGTATGAAATTTAGATCAGAGTCAGCACAATGGTGAGAAAATTATTTTAACAAATTGTCATTTTACACTGGATATGACAACAAAACAATGAATTGCATTGTCTAAAGAAATAGCTCTCTACTCCAGAGAAAACTTTCTGGACTTACTAAGTTTTCATAGCCATTCAAACTTAAATGTCAAAATTGTTAAACTGTTAAAATGATATTAAAATTAAATGCAAATGGAAGGCTTGAACTACAAAAAAGAATAAAGGGTAAACACTAATGTAATAAAAAAAAGATAGCTGAGACTTTTGAAAACTTGATCCCCAAAGGTTGGGGAATAATTTTAAGTTCATTCCAGTCAAATTCGCAGAGCAAATCTCTAGATTTATCAGCAATGCCAATAGGATCTTTCCCTTCATGGATCTTTCCGACTTTATATTTCACGGAAGAACATTTCTCTTTAAAAATCAAAATCAATTGCAGCTACAATGTTTATGTATACATACATACAGAAACAAAGTGTGTTAGGGTAGTAACGTTATAAATAAGTGTCTACATTTTCAGTTTTTTGTTTGTTTGTTTGTTTGTTTTTAAACCTCCATCTTCCAGCGTTTCTGTAATTTTATATTACCTTGATAATTAAACTAAATAAACCTGTTCCATGTGTCCCATTGTCAAATATTGACTTGCCTAACTTGCAGTCATTAAGAGGGAGAACTCTGAAATCACACAGGCTGGGTCAGAACTCTTAACATACACTCAATAAATATTAACAATTATTATAACAGACTAAATATTTTCGATCCCTGCTGACAATCCTGGCTAGAAATTAAGCTGAAAAGTTCTACAAAGCTGTAACAGTGTGCCAAAGAAGATCACAGGATAGGGCTTTGATATCTGACCCACCACAGATATCTGCCTTCCTTTGTGGTCTGAAAATTATCTTCAACAAGTCACAAGAGGAAATGGAAAATCCATCCCCACATGACCTGGAAAATGGCCAACTTTCTAACATAAATCCAAAACCTCGGCAAATCTGTTTTCTGAATTGTGTAGATACAAAGCCAGGTTTAACAATTACATTCCAAACGAGCTATTTATGATTTTTTTTAAATGCTAAAATTTCAAAGTTTTAAAAAAATGCAAGTATTACATACATTGATACTGATCTCTTAAACAAAATAACCTGTTTTTCAAGCAAAATATCATTCTTTGAGGACATGATCTGTGATGGATCCTACAAGGATGACTCTTTCTACCAGCCAGAGCTTCCTTGGAAACAGTCCTCTGGCCCAGAGGTCCTTTCTGCCTCCTTCATTGGAGAAAATACCTACAGGTCACTTACATGATTTTCAATCATAAAGAAAAGTCAGGAGCAGCAATACCTATATAAAGCAAAAGCCAACTCTATATAAGCGTTTAACAGGCATCTATATTCTTTATCTGTGGAGATACTATTTTAGTGATTCACAACGGTTTGTAAAATCGACATCGTTCAATTCTTTCCATACACTTCTTCAAGAAAAAAATCTTCTAAGAGATGAAAGGAAAAGCACTTCTGAAAAGACTTCAGTTACCCAGTGGGCCACGGTGATGCTGTTGTCACTGAAGCAGAGAGCTCAAAAGAGTTTATTTGCCGAACTGAAGTTCTGAGTGACATATACACACACATAGATTTATAAAAGGTATGGTCACTGTTGAGTCAATTCTTATAAACAAGACTCCTCCCAGAAAAAATTGAAATCTCATTCTCTAACATGCATTATGTATGTGCAATTCTGTTTGTTCCATTTAAAATATATACGATCTAAAGTACAGGCGATACAAATATGCACATTTATGAGATTCTATGAGCTGCCTCAGCCGAACAGTTTGAGATCAAAACAAGCAACTATTATATAAACACACGAAAATTATTTCATATACATACATAAACCTAAGCTAATGATAGAAACGCTGGATATTAACTTTACATGTGGGTAAATTTAGGAAGAATAAAACCCACTCTTGGAGTTAGAAATTAACCTTTCCCTGGAACCTATTTCCATTCTATTCAAACGTTCTTCGACGAAGGTCCACAAGTTCTACATCATCAGGGTGGTTTTAGCATCGGTTATAAAAGACAGCCCGGTGCAAGCACTGGTCTCCGAGTTGACCCCAAATCCGAACCTTCGCTCGTACAAGGTAACTCACTCACCTCGCTGCTCAGAGGCATAGCAAAATCGATGGCTGGTTTTTGCGCTGCCTTTGGATTCTGCATCTGTTTCAGACCTAAAACCTAGCTACCCTGGGAGCGTCGCTTAATGCAGCCTTGACACACAACGATAGCTATCGCGATTTAAAAGATACCTGGTGTTTTCTACTGAAGACGTTACGAAATTTTTGCCAGGTGGGACTTTTTTTTTTTTTTTGTCCTCCTTCAAACACGGGAGCAGCATTAAGTTAAATCCTTCTTGGTTCGGAGGGCCCTGATGTCAATCTGCTTCTACCGAAAATTAAAAATAAAAATCCCTGACCTCACTTCCCACTTAAAGGGCTAAAACAGAAATCCATGATCCAACTCGACAGAGAAGTACGATGACTTTCCAACCGCCACTACCCCCTCCCCGCCTCTCTCAAGACCCAGCCCGAATCCGGGGCGTGGGCGGACTGCGACACTAAGTAAGGGGCTGTGGATTGGGGACCAGACCGGCCCTAACCCACAGCAGGAGAAGGGAAGCAGCAGGGCTCGGGCGCCCGACAGGTGCGTCCCCAGCGTAGACGCATGACGTCAGCGCGTTGACGTGAACCGCCGTTCGCCGTTCGGCCGCGCTAACCACGCCTTCTCCGGCCTTCCGCGGAGTCGCGTCGGTGTCGATTGGGCGGTCTGGAGACGGTGGGCGGGCCCGTGCTGCGGCGCGGGGAGGCGGGGCGCGGCGCGGGGAGGCGGGGCGCGGCGCGGGGAGGCGGGGCGCGGCGCGCGGCGCTCGGTGACTGTCGCTCCCCCTGCGTGGGCCTGTCGGTTAGCTTACGTCACTCACGCCTGGCAGTGTGCCCCTCGCGTTTCGCAGAAGAAAGCTAAGAGAGGCAGCTCCCGTGCGGGGAGCGGAGACCGCGGCGGCGTCGCAGAGCTGGAATTCCGCGGGAAGACTGCGCTGTCCAGGAGCAGGGCGTGGCAATGAAAAGTGACCCCGAGTCGCCGGTTTGCAAAATTTAGAGCGAGAGAAAGGTGAGTCTTCACATTTAAACCAGCACCCAATTTCGCTTTGGACTCCGAAGTCGCAGCCAAAGAATACAACGGTGTCACCTGTCATATGACTTATAAGTCATAACTAGTCGTGTACTCAATATACATACTTGAATGAAGAAAATCGATAACCGGAATTTAGCCTGCATATCTTCAAACCGGATCCCTGGAAATTAAGTAATTTGGGGAAAGTAAGTAAATAATTTGGACTTGATACAGTCTGAATTGAATTCATTTCAATTTAACAGGCATTTATCGAGCTACTATTGTGTGCTGTTCAGAGAACTCAATACGTTTGATCTCCTTTGAAGAGCTCCACTTTTCCCCACCCCCTAGTTTCCAAAATTCCGACGAGGTCAATTTCACTGTAAACTTTTCAGCCCGCACTGTGTTCTCAAAGGTGTGCTCTGTGGGAGGAAGTCTTCTCCCGAAGACTGACGGTCTGAGAAACCCACCGGGACAGTTCTGACCTATTCTACAGTCACTGTGAGTTGGCATCCGCTCAATGCAGTGAGTTGAACAGCTTCCTCGCCCCCCACCCAAGAAATGAAGCGCTATTTGAGAGAATGGTGTGGACCAGAAAGTTTACAGAGAAGTTGACGTCTGATGGTCCGAATTTTGAAACCTGGAAAAAGTTTGAGGTGGGTAGGGATGATGGCACATGGTCCTCGGCAGTAAATCCAGTCGAGAAAGGAAGAAATGTGAAAGGATATGAGGCGGGATGAGGCTACAGAAATCATTACTTTTTATACTCACACATCTGTGTTTCCTCCCAGATAATAGGATTAGCCACTTGGATAATTGTGTAATAGGGGCCCATTGAAAAGTTTTGTTTGACCCAAATGAAAGCTGAGCATGATAGTGGGACAAGAGGAAAGAGAAGAAAGAACTAGGAGGCAAATGGCACTTATAAAAGTCTAAATGCAGGCATGTACCTATTTAAATATATTTACATATGACGCGGAAATAGATCTATGTGCATATATTCATAGGTTTAGTATTAAGGTAGCAGATGGACATTGGGCCTCCACTCAAGTACTCCCTCAATGCAAGAACACTTTGTTCTATTAAA